GTTCACGCAATGGCGGATTAGTATGGAGGTTTTGATGAGTATGAGTGTAATCGCTTCGTACCAGCGTTTGATTGGTTGGCACTATTTGAAGCGCGAATTATGATTGGTTGACGAAACGGTGTATCTTTCTTGAAGCGATGTGTCACGACGAGCAACGTCGTCGCACGCTTTTCTTTGCTAGGGACGAAGACATTCATGACAAGATCGAACATGTATAGCAAAAATTGACGCTATGATGGGGACCATGATGTTATACGGATGCATTGGTCGATCGACGAGACGAAACGCGGTGGCTGTTGTGCTTGAGAGACTAGCCAAAACGGCTTCGTTATCACAACTGGAACTAGGCAGCACACGAAAGTTTATGAAGATTGTTGTCGTACAGAACACGTGGTGTGTGCAAAGAAGCATTTACGACATAAGAATACATGCCCCGCTATCAACCTCAACTTTGCACTTTGAAAGCACTGGCTACAACGGCTTCACCGCGCTGGTCGCTGGATCCGAGCGAGCACCAATCTGTTTCGAGCGCACGACTCTAGTCATGCCGATATTGACAATGCACATAAGACAGTCCTAGAAATTGGTTCGATAGTCCCTCTGAGGGCACAATTTGGTGGTTGATCACGTCATTTCCATCAGTTAATCGACCGACACATGTCTGCCTACGAATTCGCAGGCCAAATGTTAATTCGATCGCAAAGTGTGCCATCCATCGCCGACGTGACTGGAGATGCACGTACACTCGCGACGGCTTCCATCAAAGGAAAGAATTGGCTTGCATCAGAGGAGCGTACTTTCTCCCGCTTCGATGGCCTTGCGTCGCGTTTGCGACTTGCTTTTTGCGCAATACGATGTCGTTGCCCTTCGCGTCAACGCGCAATGGCCGCCAGTGTGACGTGACGCCGCTGTTTCCAACGACGACCGATCGATGCCTAGCGTGGGCAGTCGGTTGCAGATTCCCGTATCTTCCATCCACTAGGTATTTCGAAACATCACACTAAACATCCAAGGACTAGGGTTTGGTGGATGGCCAAAGACAATGCGACACCGACGCCGGTGCTTGGACACGGTGTCGCGGT